GAAGATAGCTCCCTCGGGATAGGGGGTATCATACATTATTCACAGTCCTAAAGTTGCTCAGGCTAACCAAGGAGGTTTAAAACCTCCTTGGGCTAAACCTAAGATTCTTTAACTGAAATGTCAAAAGTCTCCAGAGTGTTTGGATTTTTCATTTCTGATGCAGCACAACACTTGCATGTAGATTACAGGGAAGATTTGATACGCTCATAGTTTTTATAATGCGCAATGTAATCTTTCCAGATGGGTTTACATGTAAGTGCATCAGGTCATGTCAATTTGATTCGTTGGTTCTCAGATTTTCAAGAAAATAGTTTGAAAAATTGGAGAGGCAACATGAAAACAGAGAGTGACTGATTATGGGTTCACCACACCACAAAGTGGTGGTGAACCCATATTGCTTTTTCTGATGTTTCTTCTCCTTCTTCTTCTTCTCCTGCCATTTTTTAAATGGATTCAGCTTCTTCATTTTAGGGCCTAAGGTCCTGAAATTTGGTATGGAGGTACAGTGGGCAAAGACCCCTAGGCGTTTTTTAAATTTTTGTGATACAGGCTTTTAGAATGGTTTTATTTGAGTTTTTTGGCTGTGTTATAGCAAATGTATTACTGTGTTAGTGTGCCGTGTTTACCACGTCTGGGCATGAGTCATCACAATGGAATGCAGGGCATCAACCAATAGGCATGCAGCTTTCCTCTATACTTCTTGCTGATTGGCTGTTGGGATTTAACTTGATTAACACCTGCACAGAGCATTTTCACCTGCACAGAGCATTTCTTGCTGATTGGCTGTTGGGATTTAACTTGATTAACACCTGCACAGAGCATTTCCATACTGACAGTATGTCTTTATTCAAGTGTTTTGGTAGGTATTTCAAGCTTTTCTGCTCCAGCATTGGAATGCGGGGGCATGAACGTTTTTTTTTTTTTTTTGAAAATCAACAGTTTGCATTATGCAATTAAAAATCCTAACCAATAAAGTAGGGAATAGCTATCCAACTGTTGTTTTAGTTGTATGTTACTTCATATTATAGTTATATCAAATTGAATGTAAATCATTGTTTTCCCTTGTGTTTCTCATTCTTTCCCTGCCATGTCGTAAAATGTGGTGAACCCATCGCTGTATTTGCTCCAAAGCAAATACATTGTATTGGCCTTTCTAGTTTATTCTTGATTCACTCAGTTTTAGAAGTGATAAATACTTTTATAATCAGATCAGGCTCTCCTCTCTGTCCCTTGCTTTCATAGTCCTATTTCACCTTAACATATGAAGGCCTTACATGTACATTGGCTAGAATTTGAATGCAAAGCCACTCGGTATGTACATAATGTAATAGAGAGGGAGAGAAATAACAGAAATGCATTAATTACACTGTACTTAAGAGTCAGATAAAATTATAGAAGAGTCAGATATGGAGCCTGGTAGTCTGGGTGGCACCAGCTTGAAAATGTACCTTCGGTCTTGTTGCAATTGTTCTTTTCCTACTCATAGATTCTCAAGCCTTTCATCAACAAGGGATGGACCTGGCTGCACCTTCAATGAATTATATATCAAAAGATAGATAGCTTTGATTTTGCTGTAATCTAAGCCAGTAAAGTTACATGTCCATTGTGGGCTCTTCTCTGCATGTAGCTGCTTAAAATGACGTTGACACTGCAGGAAATTTTCCACATGAAAAATGAGAATATTACCCACGAATTTTGAGTAAATCCAATAAGGACTGGAAAAAAATGATGCCGATGTCAAAATGGCTGTAGAAAATCAGAGCAAAGACATCCCGGAAATGGAATGGCGTATTTTTTCCATTACGCCAGATATAGCTGCCATGAGTCAAGCATGGGATCCACGTGGTGATTGAATACGTACTTCTTGCCTTGCTATGAATAGATTTAAGTGGAAAAATGACCAATACCATCTTACGCATCAAACTTCCTGGAGCCTATTTCTGAAAATGTGGTCCATTTTTACAGTGTATCCTGTTTTGTATTTCAGACAAATAGCGAACGCAATCATGTTTAAGGCTTCCATAACTCATTGCCATGGCAGGAACATTCTCTGATGCTGTATTAGCTTTTATGTCTGAAGGTCAGGCTTCTATTATTTCCATTCCAGCAGTGCTCAGAGGTAGAGTAGTTCAAAGGACATTTGTATTCAGCAGTTTATGGCTCATTTATATTCACTGCGTGTCATAAGCAGTTTTAGAGGCTTTCAGTCCAATAGATTCCAGACTAAGTTTGCAGGGCACTGCTTCATGACATGGAAGTGGTGCAAAATGATTTACTGACCAAGAAAACAGTTTTCATGGGTATCTTGTGCATTATATATTGGTCGTGGTGGCCAGCTTACATTTCTTTTCCACCTGTCTGAGACTATAATGTGATAAATTCAGGAAGCAGAGAATAACTGTTGAGAACCAGGCACTCGTGTATGCCGAATAATGAATCAAAAGTAACACAGTTGTTGCACTTGTCTACCTAATGTGTTCTCATATTTCTCCCTCATTCCTTTGTTGCTGCCAAATAAATTGATTTTAAGATTCACCTTGTATGGCAAGGTTAAAAGAGAGATGCAGGTTCCAAATTTAGGACCTTCATGCCCCAAGTTGTCTTTTATTGATTAATCTATGGACTACCGTCCTGGATTTAACATTGGTGTCAAGGTCCTGTCTCTTGTAGATTTTTATAGATGGTGTCTTCGTACTGTCCTCATGCCCTGGTGGTCTGTGCATGTGTGCTGTGAATATACTCCATAGCGCTCTTTTTCAAATCTATTTGTTGTTTCTATGTGGTTGGAGAATGCCTTGAATTGTCCTATATATTTGCCACAATAATTTCATACAAGGTATCCCTTGCCAGTGTTAGCTGAAAACTTCTGATAATACCTGATTCAACCTACAATTGCTAACTCCAAGACTTACAAAACATGTACATGTACTCTGATGTCCCGATTAAACGTACCGGTACGTTTATTTTTTTCGGCCCGAACGTCCACCCGGTACACTCTTATTAGGGACGGTACGTTTATTAATTTTTGGGGAAAAAATTGTCCATACGTACCGCACCATCAGCAAGTGGCCGGCGGCCGCAAAATTCGGCAACACGTCACAGATAAATATTTGGTCCATGATAGCGGCATTTCCCATGAATATAATGTATATTATTTATTTTTCGCCTGCTGTCCATTTTTAAGTCCCAAAACGTCTGAAAAAGCAAAAATTTGCCCACAAAACCGAAGGGGAAGGCGAGTAGCTAAACGACGTATATTTAGCACATGGCGGCCGCAAGTCCTTGTCAAAATCGGCAACGCGGCAGAAAAATGCCTGGTCCATTTTAGCGATATTTACCATGAAAATAACGTATGTGGTTTATTTTCCCTCTGGTGTTAGTTTTTAGGTCCCGAAACCCCTAAAAAAGTAGAAATTTGCCCACAAGACGGACGGCCGACGTGGGGAGGGCGCCTAGCGCCTGAGCAGCATGACCCGTAAAAAGTCAAAGGTCATAGGGCACCCATATTGCGCAATCACTGTAAAAGCGCCGATTTAGCTAATTTTAGGGCGTTTAAAATTGATACAATCACATTATCGATTTTTAAAAAAACAATGAGATGGAAACCAATCAAAATTTTATGCTGAATAATATTTTTTTTCTTCAGAAGTTTTTCTTCTTCAGAATCCAGACTTTGACCAGACTAGACAATGTACCATACCAAATAATTATTATGTGGAAATGGATTTTGTTGTACATATACTCATTAAACCCCTATATTTGTACTTAATTGGGCTTGATTTTCTATCTCTTAAGTTAGTCAGATTTTCAACTCAAGTTGCAGGAGAAGGCTTAGCAAAGTGCATTTCAGAAGTGTAAAATGCAATAGCTTCTCCTACGGATTTTGTATTTCCCCAAAACAAGTACAATATATATATACTCATTAATTAAAGTGATATATACTCACTAATTAAATGTAACAGTGAAAGATTTGCCCATATATTGGTATTGAAATAAAGAGCACATTTTAGTATCATGGACACACAGTTCACCTGTCAATTTGGTCATTTTCCGGGGGTACGTTTATTCCGGAGGGTATGTTTATTAGACTTTGAAGATTTGTCCGGGGGGTATGTTTATTCCGGGGGGTATGTTTATTAGGGACATGAGAGTATATAACAGTGTTATGCCAGTTGGCAGATTGTTACTTGTACGATCATGTGCATGCCAATTTTGTATCCCAAGGTATACATAGTGTAATTCATAATGGCCTGGCAGTCACTATGGTAGACAGCCCTACGTAGTAATAATGTTCACCTTATTGTACAGTGGGATCAAATGTCATATGTATATATGCCATGTGGCAGTTTGTTACTTGCAAAATCATGTGCATGCCAATTTTCTATCCCAAGGTGTACCTAGTACAATTTATAATGGTCTGGCAGTCACTGTGGCAGACAGTCCTACGTAGTGTAATGTTCACCTTATTGTACAGTGTTGTAATGTCGAATGTATATATGCCATTTGGCAGTTTGTTAGTTGTACAATCATGTGCATGCCATTATTTTCTATCCCAAGGTACATTGTGTAATTTATAACAAGCAGTGGCAGACAGCCCTACGTAGTATAATTGTTCACCTTATTGTACAGTGTTGTCAAATGTCAAATGTATATATGCCATTTTGCAGTTTGTTACTTGTAAAATCATGTGCATGCCAATTTTCTATCCCAAGGTGTACCTAGTACAATTTATAATGGTCTGGCAGTCACTGTGGCAGACAGTCCTACGTAGTGTAATGTTCACCTTATTGTACAGTGTTGTCAAATGTATATATGCCATTTTGCAGTTTGTTAGTTGTACAATCATGTGCATATGCCATCATTTTCTATCCCAAGGTACATTGTGTAATTTATAGCAAGCAGTTGCAGACAGCCCTATGTAGTATAATTGTTCACCTTATTGTACAGTGTCATCAAATGTCAGCCAAGAATTCAATAAACTTTCTTCCCTTCCCTCCCAGGTGGATCCATGATTACCAAGACGCCTGCATCGATAAGCTGGAGAGGTTCCTTCGCGGAGAAGACATGTCAAAGAGGGGGCGGCTCAGCAAGATGAGCAGCAAAGACGAGGAAGTATTTGATACGCCTCGCTACCGACTTCACAGGATGGGCAGCAGTGATAGCATATGAGGTGGATGTCAATAGTTGGATGAATGATGAGGGATCATGTAACATCATCTGTCAACTTGAAGGCATGACTGTACGCTGTGCTAGCACTGCTGTTCTGTGCTAACTTTTAACAGAAATGATGGGATGGTAACTTCGCTCAAAAATGGGTTTAGAACTTGCTGTAAAAGCCCATTACTGTGTAGCTACAGATGATAGTTACTGCATAGCATTTTTGTGATCTTTCATTTCTTCTTTAGGCCATAGCAATTTAATTTGTTGCTTTAACTTGAAGGAAAAATAACATGACAACAGAAGCTGTAAAAGGGTTAGGTTTATGTTTTGGTGCATGGTTTCAGTTTTACGCAGTGAGCACAATCAGTCAGATTCAAATTTTTCTCCTGGCCCTGACAGCTTGTTTTCTAATTAAATTTTTACCTCAGAATGTCTGAAATCCAAGGAAATATATTTGGTGTATATAATATACAGAAATTGAACTAAAAGCCACAAACAGAAATACAGGGTGTGTTATATTAACTGGATGAATTGGATGAAACTTACACCAACTCAATATGAAACAAGATTGAACTGTAATTGCCAACACAATTCTGTTCACTTGGCAATCACAGTTCAATCTTGTTTCATAATGACTTCTACCAACACAGATGAACTTTCCAGATTACACCAACTCAAGTTGACTGCATGCATGCATTTTGCACTTGAAAGAAGCCGAGGATTTAACAGTGACAGTAATTATCCTAAAAGAGATTAGATACAGTAATTCCACTGGAAATCAGCATTTCCGCAGTGGAGATTAATTGCCGTGTTCATGTCTGTAGGTATTAGTTTTAAATCCCCCGTGAGTTTTCACCTTGCTCAGTTTACTTCACATGAACAGCAAAATCATGCACTTATGAAAGGACATAACTTGTCTTTGTGAGCAAGTGACAAATAAATAACTTGTTGACAAAGCAGTGAATGCACAAAGAGTTGCACGCAAAAAGCACATCATTCACAGATATTTTATTAACCACAAATAGTCAATCTGTTACACCAAGGGGAACATGGTACCCAACAAATTACATTTACTGTTATCTATGCACGTATCTTTACCTGCTGACATATTTTATCAAATCAATTTTTTACATTATTGTTTTCTCCTGTCTGATAAATCTAGATTAAGTTTTTTTTACATATGAAATGTTTCTGATTTATAGTATATGACATTGTATTAAGTCGTCAGTTTTGTAAATCTCACTCTATCTGACATGGTGTGCTTTAATTTGTAATTCAGTAATGTAATACCAAAAGCAATTTGTTTGACAATTAATTTAGCACTTTTCAATTTGGCACATTGCCTGTCAATGTATATGTCATTTCACAAACTGAACTTACAAAAAGTTACACGTACGATCATGGCACTAAAGTAGAGTTAGAGACACTACAAGTTATGAGAAAAACTACAACTAATAGTATGTGAAACAATGAATTAAGCCTTACAAAACAGCATCAACAGTGTACAATAAATAGTCTGCCTGCCAAATTGGCTGGTTGTCAAAAATACATGTACTCCAACTGGGGACAAAACTCAATTTACATGTACATGACATTGTACATACCATGATTACAATATAGAATACCAACAGCTTTACAACACAAGAGATAACAAAACACTCAAATTATATAATGTTATATATATTAGCTGGTGTGTTACACCAAAAGTCAGTTATACCACCGATACAGAATCATACAGAAAGATATTAAATTAGAAATGTCAATGTCTCTTAGTGTCAAAATATTAGTTGTGAAGATATCATGTACATGTGATTGTTTGTCCATGGCCCTGGACTGTGCCACATATGGAGAAGGGGGGGGGGCAAGGTGTCAGATCCTGGCCTAGGCACATACTATTAGGCAGGTAGGCAGGTCTAGGTTAGGCAGCACAGCATAAGATTCTCTATGCAAGTATACAATGTACCTGTTGTGTTCCAAACGTTAGGTAATTACAGCAAATCTGATATTAAAATGATTCATTAACAGTGTTATTTAGTTGTTTCCGGCTATAGATATATAATATATAGTTTCAGCAAATTCCAGACCAAAATCATGTATAACATTGTGTGTGTGTTTGTTTATGTGGTACAATGTATGTATGTGTGTGCGTGCATGTGTTGGCCAGTATCTGGCCCCTTATCATCATGAGTTTACCATGTGGAAACTCAGAGATTTTAACGTTTTATTGATGTTGCAATGGCCAATAACAAGCATGATATTTTAGACTAAGTTTGTGCCTTAGTTTGGTAGAATGTTTAGTAGAATTCCTACTGCTGCATTGTACATTCATGATACATGTAATGATCATGTGTATCAAAACGTTGCACAGAAAAAGTGCATGCAAGAGGCAGTGTAATTCCATGTAACTAGGTTAACTGGAATCTTAGCATATGGATTAAAAAAACCATCAATATAATGTGACAGCTGTCACAATTCATTATGATGGATTGCTCATTTTTTAATTAGTATTATCTTTCATTAATATTTGCCTGGTTATACAATTTATATCAATTTCACCATGTTGAACCGCAGTGCATCTGTGAGATTTCAAGTGCAGCACCACCAGTTATATACAGTTTAGATTAGGCCAATGCAAGTAATTTTATGATTGACATAATCGTGTGCATTAATTTTAGCCTGAAAAAAATTTTGTCGCCCTCTGACAGTTATCAACGAACGTGGATGGCAGATGGATATGAAGAGGGGAAACAAGAGTAGGCTGTGATTTATTGTTCTGTTGTTCTTTTGCACTGGATTTTTTTGGGTGAAAAAAAATTCCAGTGCAAAGAGAAACCCCGATAAAAAAAAGCCTAAAAACACGCCAAAAATGACCCCAAACCCAAACCTCTGCTTGGAGAGTACTACATTTCAGCGTCTCAGCACAACGGGATTAAAATGCTTTTTAGAAGTCACATACGCGTGAGAAATAATTCGCACGTCTGAGATAATTGGCATGTGCCGCGACAAATAATTAACAACTGCCTTCTGGGCTTCCGCTTTCAAGTTGTAGATGTCGGCCGGCAAAATGTTATACAAATAAACATGAAATAAAACAAACGCAAGTTGGTAGCAGCGATTTGTATAATAATGTTAGGGTAGAATAATTGGGGAAGGGGACATTTAAGGTAGCGGGACAAAACGTCGCACCGGCACGGCAGGTACGTTGTTGACTTTAATGGAAACTACAATTTGTGACTTTTGGAAAGTTAGAAGACCGGTTAGAAAATTGTTGGACCCCGGGGGCGTGATATCTGAGCGTCAGGCGGAGGTGTGTGAGCTTCATTAGCGACAAGAAATTCGCACATCCGTGCCAATCGCCTCTATAAGGCCTAGGGGAAAATGTTGTGTTTCCTGTTTCAGTCCTGAAAAAATTAGGGTCGGTAGGTAGGGATTTTTTTTCTTTATTTTGTTTAGAATTTAGTGATATCTATATCTTATACAATACAGTTTAACAAAGTAAAACTTGCATGAGGACACTTTTATTTTAAATGAACCAATTGTACAACGTTTTATCACTCAGGTGTCAGATCATGGAGCTAGAAAAGGTTGATCAGCTCGAAAAAATGATTTATGGATCCGTTGCAGGGGTCCACCCCCCAAAAAAGGCTAGGGTCGGCAGGTTTTTCTATGGTCGGTCGGGAAACAGGAAACACAACATTTTTCCCAGACCTAAGCGTTTTTTTATTTCCTTTTTAGATACCGAAATGTAGCAGATTGTCCTTGAGTCGCCAAAATAATCCTGGTAGAATTAGAACTGGTGAAATGCCAGAAAGAAAATACTTTATAAACGCTCCCCCAAAGGCAAAAGTCCTGTAGAGTCTGATAAGGATGCTGAGGCTATTCTACCTAATGTCAAATCGAAAGTTCATCGCCACCTGCCAGATTTTCTCTTAAACCAGGCTTTAGATGTTAAAGGTTTCCTCTTAGCCCTTCTCAACTGTTGTTCAGAATTCTATGTATTTTTAGTTACTAGATCTATGGAATACGCACTAGAAATTTCTCCAGACTGATACAAAATTAGAAGAATCTTATACAGATATCCAGGCTCAGATATCCGCGTATTACATGAAGATATTGAGTTATCCTGTTCATACGCACCAACATTATTAATATTGCACCCAAACACACACACATATGTAAATTCTTGATTATGTTATTTCTCCAGTTTGTACGAGTTCATCAATATTATTTTACAGTATACTAAAAACGTGTATACGTAATGTTAGATATCTGATCAAGGAAAATCGTAACAAATCTTAAGAAAGTGTTGATTTTGGCTGAAGAAAAGCACATTAGATTTACCATAAAGTATACGTCAGTACAATAAAATACACGTCATACGATACGTCAAAACTAGTACTTGATACACGCACGCAACCACTAAAAGCAGAACCTCTATGAAGTAGGATATCCTAAACACGTATACGTGACTGAACTATTGAGGAAGAGTTCAGTACAGAATGCTAACAAATCAGCACTCGTATATATATTTACCCACTTGACTCGAGGTCAATATCACAAAAATCAAACACTTCTTCGACCTTCACACTGCTTTAGGTGTCATCTTGTGCATTTGCCCTCCATTACTGATCATTACTAGAGGCAGTAGACAGGAAGGGAACCATGGCACGCAGTTAGGTTACTGCCGAGGCCATGGAGCTACTTGCCATGAAATCACATCACGTGTCTTGTTAGACCCTACCAGGCACGCGAATCGCTGGAAAAATGGTAGAAATTGGCCAATATAAAGGGAATACTATACCAGGGGGGTTGGCCGACCAGAGAGAGTACATTTTGCGAGTCTTTTCTGGCCGTCCAACTACCCTGGTATTATAGTATTCCCTTTACTTTGTCCAATTTCTACTATTTTTCAGAGATACGCGGTGCCTGTTAGAGGCTAGTGTCTTGTGACAGAAAGTTTGTCTAGACTTATTGGTCCCACCTGTTATATTCAAGTTTAAGACTTGGAAAATCCAAACTTATTTTTTTACCATGGACATTGTGATTTGACATGCATATGGAGAGGTATTTCACTTCTGAGAGCATTGCTACGAAAATTGCTCTGTTCTGTATTTTCGGGAGAATTGCTCTGTTCTCAATCCTGGTTCGTTCATATAAAGATACCACTTGACAGTGTTGCATGCAAAATAGTGTATAAATAGGATTCAATCTTTGTTTTATTTCTGGCATCACCACGACGATGAGCATTTTCCCACAAGTGCAGTTGTATGCAACAGGTTGGTACAGATTTAGACATCTATTATTTGATTCTCCAAACATTCACCCAACAGAAACTCACATTTATAAAAATGCACCTCATCCTTTTGTTGGCATGATATATTTGGTGATATATCTTATTTCAGGAGCATCATTTGTTGTCATTCAAAATTCTTGTCGAAGTAACTGTTATTAACACTTTACATGTATCTTCATGATTTTTATGCAATATTTTGGGCCTTCTTAAGCTTGGAACTTGGAAATTAGAACTTTCAAGTGAATTATATAATTAATTTGGCATACATAGTATTCATATTTTAGATTCTATGTTCACAGCTGAAACAGCCATATGTCTTTTAAGCACTTTCAGGCACTGATATGCGGCAAAGGAGGAGAAGCACTTCCAGTGTATTATGTCTGAAGGGCATTCCGTGTTTTAGGGAAAAAGCTCTGGTGGCAAGATTAGGCAATAAGGACAATATTCTAAGCCAGTCACATTTTTTATGATCTTCGTTTGATTTTGTATTTGTATGTAATTACGCAAGTTATGGGTAATGAATGATGTCAATTGTATTGACTATGGCCAGAATTGTGTATCCTGTTTTATGTCGTCCATTTATACGGAAACTATCATGTACTTTACAGTGTCGTCTCTTGAACATTGTTGGAAAGTGTTACCGCAGTGGTGACGACACCCTTCAGCCTGTTCCCATTGCCGTTGACAACGTTCACCTTCAGGCTTGTCATAGGGGTGGAGTGTGCCGTGCCGGTCTGCACGTCGTCCATTGCTTTGTGCCGGCGGATCATGGTCGTGGCCAGCGACATTGGCCGTGAACCCGTAGCCTTTCGAAACGTCTGGTTGAAATGCTGCCTGAAGTTCGTGGTGAAGAACCCGTACACGAGCGGGTTGATGAAGCTGTTGGCATAGGCCACCAGGTGGGCAGTCGGGTAGACGTAGTGGTGGAGGTTGATCTGCTGCCGAAGGCTCAGGTTGCCGAAGTCCTCCAGGAGCCAGCAGATGTAGAGCGGCATCCAGGTGGTCGCGAACACCACGACGAGCGCGATGACCATGCGGACGACTCTCATCCTGCAGGCGGCGACGCCGACGGGGACCGATGCTGCCTTCTCGCCGCTGGTACCCCGCGAGTTGCCGTCAGCTGCTCCCGGGGGTGGCTTGAACCAGACTTTGGTCGCGATCTTGGAGTACAGTAAGCTGATTGCCACCAATGGTATGATGTAGCACAGGCTGAACAACGCGGCCGTGTAGCTCTGGCGGGAAGTCGAAGATGGCCAGAACTCGCCACAGATGTGGAACGTGTGGTTCTCGTACAGGACTTCTTTCTCGTACGACACGACTGCCTGAGGGGCCATGATGGCTGCTGAGGCGATCCACACCCCCAGGATCACCAGCAGTGCCTTCTTCTTCGTCAAGCCCTGTTTCTGGGGATGAACGATGACAACGTACCTGGAAAAGTGCACAAAATGTTCATTGATGCTATCTAAATGATAGAAGTTTCTTCAATCAGCAGTTCTCAGATACCTTGGAATCTGTATCTGTATCTGTATAGCCAGTATAACCGCCTTTCGGCGTAACACACCAGCTTCGCAGGCACGCGGCGCGGCGGCAGCTGGCTATATTACACCGATCGACTTGTTACACCTAACGTCAACCAATCAGAAGGCTCCATTTCCCATCGGTTATCAGGCCGTAACCTCTAAAGTGGTTGGTTATTAGAAAAAAACACCACTCATAAACCACCTCATTTGTGGTTTATTCGGTGGTTATCGCACCTGACCAAGGATTATCTCACAATGTACACCACGGGCGGGGCATTAACCCTTTATCAACGATGCATGCCCATTGCCAGGGCCATGCGACCTGATACTAGCAGTGCAATAAGCCCTGGGAAATTTGTATTGACACAGGAGCAGTAGTTATAAATCAAATGTTTCAAAATTAAACAACGGTAGAATGCCTCATCTAAATACCCGAGCAATTGCACGTTTTATCATCGATAGCAAAGTATTAAACGCGCTTTACGGTTGAATCAAGGTAAGTCTCATAAGCATTCATCTGATGCTATCACCTGTATTGCAGTATGACTTGAATACGCTTGCGCCCCTGGTATTTAATAGGAGGGATTATATAGCAAAGACGCTCTGTATATCAAACAGCAGAGACGGTTTAATTTGTTTTTGGTTGATCCAGCCTCAGATAAAGGCGCTTTACAGCATGTGTGGAGGATTAAATAGCCACAAAGCTGAATTCTCAAGATAGCTACAAGGATGGCTGTGTGCACATGATAGACGACAGCTATGAAAGCAGGGAGATATCGTAATGGGAAGTATCATGCTTGTTGGAAATACACGGATAGGCTGGAGATTCCGTCCAGAAAAATGCGTTGATGAAGGTTAGACATCCAGGTAAACAATACTCATACGTAGGAAATTCAAACTCTACTACTGGATAAATTACGGAAATAATTTCAGGACGTTTCGAGTGACGTCCATCACTCTTCTTCAGCGTCACTAATGAACTAACAGAATTACCAATATTGTTTGTCTTACCATAGGAACTTCCTTATCTCCTTTACTTTATCTGACCATTTTGTCACGTTCAACCATTTTTTCCAGTTACTCATATATATTGTGTAACACGTTCTGTTAGTTCATTGGTGACGCTAAAGAAGAGTGGTGGATGTCACTCGAAACGGCCGGAAATTATCTCCGTAATTTAGCCTATGAGCATACAGAAAAATGTTTGACTTCCACACAAGTGGGATGATGATAATCATAAATACCGCCATATTTAGATCTTGTCTTTCTCGAGCTTAATTCTAATTTCTCTCGAAGTTGCAGTATCTGCGTTTGCTTTTTTTAAAACATGTACGTAACGTAAAGACATAATACATCTCGCTGATATCACCAGTTGAAGGAAAAACATGTTATCAACCCTTAGATCTTTGCAGTACAAATAGCCCGACTGAAAAATCAAATCACCAGACGTACGTCAATTCTGCGTACGAAATTTGCATCCGACAATTACTAGTATCTTCCACTACATCCTGCTCACCAGTACCCCATCGTATCAACGGTTTCCTCAACTGTGTTTCAGTTGCCATTCATTTGTCATATCAACGACGTTACCAAAAATACACCGAGAAAAAATATAGCTGTCATCTGTAATGGTTAAGTTTGCAACGTCTGTAGATCCTTATTGTGCTGAAAATAACAACGCTGATGCTGTTCCATGCATTAAAGACAGAGATATTTGGTTATAAGCTAAAATCCCTCTCAAGCCGTTCGGTGTTTGGTAATATATATCATTCCCTCCGTTGTGCAATCACTACAGCAGGGGAGAACGAAGCCCTCTGGTAGATAGACGACAACAGTAGTCTTTAGGAATTGATAGTACGATTAGAGGAGAAACCGATTTGAAGTCGCTGCACGTTTCTCTACAAAGTCCATTCGGAACACTGGTAGTATATATATCATTCTCTCCGTTTTGCAATTACTACAGCAGGGGAATAGCCCTCTGGCAGATCGACGACAACAGTAGTCTTTAGGAATGGATAGTACGATTAGAGAACAAAACGATTTGAAGTCGCTGCACGTTTCTCTACAAAGTCCATTCGGAACACTGGTAGTATATATATCATTCTCTCCGTTTTTCAATTACTACAGCAGGGAAATAGCCCTCTGGTAGATCGACGACAACAGTAGTCTTTCGGAATTGATAGTACGATTAGAAGAGAAAACGATCTGAAGTCTCTGCACGTTTCTCCACAATGCTCATTCATAACGCCGGCAGGACCTTTGCCGGTTCCCGCATTGACAAGGCGTTTCGACCCGCTATTATTAGCCTGATGCACGACACCTTTCACGGGATGGGTGTCAACCAGCGGACCAAGTTATTACCCTCTTCGCGTGGAACGACGTTGAAAAATCGCAGAGGGCCACTAGATATTACCTATAAGTTGGGAGATTATGGTTATAATGAAAGCTCCAATCGGGCACTTCATGATTGGCAGGGGATTGACAGTTCGGTTCAATTCCACGGGGTGTCCTCGGCGATGTGAACTGCGCGGTCTAACTGCGTCAGGTCGGCAGGTGAGTTATTCGGCGTTGAAAGCGGCTGTGCGAAGATCATAAAAGTCGTGGAGTTAGCTGACAATGTGTGTTGGGCTCTTTTTCGTGCTGAAACTTGAAGTCTGTGAGGCTAATAATAACGACTAAGCCCACCCACTCCCATGCATGACACGGGGCTGCCGAATTTACTGCTCCAACCCCACGCCGAATGGGACTCGAACCTCTGTCCTCTTGATCCACGGAACCTCAACATAGAAACCGAAATGCCCTTGAATATGTACGTTCTTGGAATCCATTCTTTCTTCAAAGTCAAACAAACCCAGCAGTAGCTAGCCCTAGTCGATAATTCTGCACACACACAGTGTATAGTATGCACCGGTATACTAGTAGTAATTGCTACCTGGCCAAGTGTTAACTTCATGCAGCATCATTCTATTATCATGTTAACCGAAGGAAAACATATTGTTTTTGCTACGTTTCCTCTTCTTCTTTTAAAAAAAACTGACCTCTAACCTAGCCAATGACCTGATTTGTTGACGTCTCTCACCATGGTAACTGGTGTTCGGTTATATAATATTGCAATTTTATAGTAGGAGGGATTTATACTCCTGTCTGACCATATATATTTTGTAAGCATTAACAGAGCAGACCATATGCGAAGGTAAACATTATGCATTGGCAATGCCCAAGCTCAAAGTCGTGTGCCTTTTTTCTTCCTTTCAGCTGCTTTGCCAAATACATCAGCAGAACAACTCGAGACAGTTGAAAGGTCTGCCCGTGTTTGGTGCAGACGAAGCATGAAGCAGAGATGTATGGTCACGTTACTTCCAACACTTCACGTTCAGCTGATGTATCACCTACCTGTCTGCCGCGATGGATGTCAGCGTGAACACAGACGCGCCGACAGACAGACCCTGAGCCAGGGCTTTCACTCGACACATGGCGTCACCGAACATATTCTCTGCAAAAATAGAAGAGATAACACAAAATAACGTTTTAGTATCAATCACGATATTCCTGACACTACAGGCTTTATTTCTGTCATGAAGCCAAGAAAAATACAACGATTCTAAAATAGTTTCTAAAGAAACGTTTCCTACGTTTCCTTGATATTCACTTCAAACAGAGGAGAGAGAAACGCAAAATCACGTTTTATTATCAATCACGGGCTCATTCTACAGGCTACAGGCTTTATTTCTGTCATGAAGCCAAGACAAATACAATGATTCTATTTTAAAGGTTGAACGCTTACTGAGAAGGAAGCTAGTTTTACATATAAGACTTACGACATGCGAGATAAATGACTAAACACGCAGCGTATGGTATGGCGAGTGAAATTGACTCTTCATTTTCAATTCGTCACATTTTCTTCTTTTCCGGAATTGATTCCGGCATTCTATGACATTAGTATCGTTTTCCAATACTTATTTTGCAACATACGATATATACATGTATTCGCTCATTTTGTACGATTTACAATATGGTCGAAAACTTTTTTGTAAACGGAAGAAAATTAATGCGCGCACGGATGTCATCCATATAATCAAATCAACATGACCCAATCAAACTTTTAAAACATATCCTTGATTACCTGTCGTTTGCTACAGACATAATCAGTATTTTAAATGTCCAATTCTGAAATAACTTTACTGTAGAGTTGATGCAAGTCGCTACTACCTTTTAGCGCGGTAGTGGATCAAACTCTTAAAAAGCAATCTAGATGCTAGGCCGAAGCAGGGTATACCCTTCATCTATGAAAAGCCTACTTCAATTCCACGGTACAAGCCCGAGGCAAAGTTTAATACGGCAGGGTCCAGGGTCTCCCGCTCCCATAAATAGTTTCACCAGGTTGGTAAATCAATTCAACGCAGTTTAGGCCACAGCAAGTCATTTTTATGGGTGACATCAGCGCGCGAATTAATTTTCACCTGCTTTTGGAAACAATGAAAAGCAATTTTGTTGCTGACAGTGGTCAACATGCCGAACATGGACTAAGATTTCTGTTGCCATGCCGGAACGTGGATGGCATTTAAATATGAAGAGAGGAGACAAGAAGAAGCTATTATTTATAGTTTTGTCTTTTTCTTTGACGCAGTGATGTATTTCATTCCTTTTATATGTGATGTTCCCTGAATCAAAACCATTTGTACAATTTCAGTGACAAATGGATGTTGTAATAGTTGGCCGTAAACTTTGCACAATATAGGCATCATTTCTTGTTTAACAAGGTTGATGATGTGAAAAGTTAACAATGAAGGAATCTTGTTTTTTTGGCCCTATCGCATTAGTTATGGAGTCTGTGGAGGATGTCATCCATAAAATTTACTTGCTGTGGCCTTACTTACTTACCATACTACCCTATTTATCTGAGGTGATACGACAAGGAGAAAATTCAATTTCCCTTATGATAGGCCAGTGAAATGTTGGCACAGAGAAAAATATAAAGTTGAAAAGGGTCGCCCGCTGTTTGACAAAGATAAGATGCTTATGGCGCTGTTTTGTTGCTCCTTTGTTACATTCCAAAAGCGTCCTGTATCTCCAATCTTATCAAATGTAAAACTGGATCATTGCTGAAGTCGACGAAGTGATTTTGGAAAATGGTCAGATGGCTCTAAAGGGGAAAATGCAGCCACAATACAAGATCTGTCAGAAATAAAGTGTAAGTTCCTTGACTTTGAGACCTTGACCAACAAAGTTTTAGTTTTTAACTTTCGTCAGCGGATTTCTATTTTCGTGTGAAACTTAAAATTTAACTTGAAATTGAAAATAAGTGTTAAGTTCATTTCCCAAGGGCACAACAGTGGGAGCATGTCATGGATCGTGGATTCGAACCCAGAACCTTCAGATTCTGATTCAGCAGTCCTAACCACAAGCCCACCTTGTCAACACTTATCATAAACTACTGCACAACTGCAGAAGGTAACCGCAAGGAACAAGCCCGTATTTAGTCATCAAGAGCACTTAATAAATAAGCTTAAGTCTGTAGTAACAAGTATCTTGTTGTGATTCAGATAAGAGTGAACTAAAACGCTTTTAAGGAAGTAATTGCTTCATTTTGGATTCTGTCCAAATTTGGATCGCATCCGGGATTCTCTCGCAGAGAAATCCTTAATAAGCATGCCCGTAGCCGGGGG